ATAGTTTAAAATCTAAAGAGTGTTCTTAACCCTGTAAATATCTTTTTGTATGTTTTTATCAGGTTGCACTGCATTGTCCCAAGCAGGCTGGCTTTAGTCACTTCGGGTCGTATTCCATAACCCTATTCAATGCTCAAGACAGGATCTGAGTACGATTTCAAGCACTGGAAATATGACACAAACCCTGACTTGAGCATTGAGTAGAGTTCTAGAATACGACCCATAGAGTACTAAGTATGGAATAAGAAATAGTCATTACATTTTGTAAACAAAAAAAATTTAAACAATTTCTTTCATAAGTTCCAACTTTATTAGAATATAGAATAGAATAGAATTATTTATTTCAGACCATGATCCATAGTAATGTTAGTAATACAATAAATTTTTCTTACGTGCTGTGATTAGTACAATAGAAAATTACTTAATTCTAGAGAAATGCCACGTCTTAATTTCTTTTTCTTTTTTTAATATTATACATCATATCTTGCAATCAAATCTAATCAATTCACTATCCCTCTTGGTTTTTGTGTTTTAAGTTTTTATTAACCATTAATCATTAATTTCCAACAAAATTTAGAATTATTTTAATGTAATAATGTTAACTGTTGAAATTCCATTTTATAGACTGTAGGTTATAAATATTTGACAATCTACATCATTCCTACAATTTTGCATAGAGTCAAGCGTTAATCAGCATTAGGTTACTTTTATTTTTAAATATCATATGGGCTCATCACAATAGAAATGTAGTACAAAACAGAATTTCTGATGAGAAATGTTGTTGCAATAACAGAAGGTCGAAAGTAGTTAATTAAATATTGCAGCCAGTATAATTGGCTGTAGCTTCTTACAAACTGCAAAACATAAATGAGTTTAAAAGATTTACACTAATCATGTGGTGGAGTGGTCTCAACTTACTGACAAAATCAAAACTGTTTTTCTTTAATAATATCTTTTGTTTAAAATAAGACTTAATTATTTTGTAAGGTTTTTAGATTTTTTTAATCCTAGGTTGTAGAACCTGTTTCTGTAGAGAAATAAACATAAACTGTCATATAAAAAAAGTTTTGAAAATGCACTTATTAACAAATGACAAAAAAACAAGGAAAGTAATAATACAATACAATAGGTGCAAATAAAGAAAAACCTAGTTAAGCATAGAGCAGAACTGCAGGTCGATTTCAAAACGCTGAAACACCGACCTTCACCTGCTAAATTCACAATTAAATTTTAAATTAACTGCATCAACACTCCAACAACAAGCAATACAATACAACCTACCAGAAGATCCGCGAATAATTCTCTACAATTACAGGGAACTGGTATCCTTTTAACAAATTAGAAGGAAGTCTTGTGTAACGTTATAGACGCACCAGTACGCTGAAAAATCAATAACACCCCGAGATGCCTACGTTTGAATTTGAATAAAACAGTAAAATAACAAACTCAAAGATTACTTACCACTTCGAAAGTAGGAGAAGAAAATCTTGAACACCACTTATAATAAACGTTTAATTCACAATGCAATGTGAAAGTAATATTTATTTACTTGGGAATAGAACTCACTCAACAAAGCGAACTGACAATCATTTGCTTTGACAACTCTATTTTGACGTTTACGTTCGGTTGCACCTTAGACTATTTTTTTCCATCCTGTGAGGGTTGCACACTACCTGCTGCTAATGAAATAACACGTTCCGTTTATTCAGCATTTAGTACGTACTGGGGGTCTATTCAGGGGGTCTACTCTCGATTTCCGTCCGAAACAATTACTGTAAATAAGCAATACTTGACCAAATGAAAAGACGCGTGATGCGAATGAAGCTTCATACTGGATACTTGTCTTTTAATTTTGTCGAATATTACTTATTTCACAGTAATTGTTTCGGACGGATGTCGGACGGAGACCGAGAGTAGCCCCCCAGAACCTGCTGATGTCTCAGTTGTCGACCGATTTCTTTTCATTTTTATTCACAATACCCGAATCGAACGTCAAACTGTCGTATTCGAAACCTGTACGATTACTCGAATTTCTCTACCAGCAAAGGCTACAAACGTTATTCTGAACACAACTATCGAATGAAAGTTACCGAGCGTTGTTTACAAAGCAAGAATGTGAACTCCTCTTGTTTTAAATAAAGTCTGGATTTCTGTACTAATGCATTTCTACATATATTTTAGGCCTTTAAAATCTTAAAAATGTATATAAAAGGATTTGCATTTTTCAAAATCTATTTCACCAACTCCGTAAACGTTTTGAATAACGATATCGTATCTGAATCGAACGATCTGAATAGCTTGGAAAGCGTCTTTCGATTCGAGAACAATATCTAATCAAATGATTCGGTTAAAACATAAAGTTCTAAATCAGGGTCCGTATGTACGTACAATGTCAAGAGCACGTGAAGCTTAACACTTAAGATTTAAATCCAACTGTATTCCGTTACGATAAGAACGGTCCAAAGTATGTACATACAAAGTGCCAAGGTTGTACCAGTTGGGTAATTTTCCGAAAAATTTCAAATAATTATTCCGCAAAAAATTCGAAAACATTGGAAAAATATAATTCGAAGACTCATATTTTGTTATACGTTTAGATATATCTTTTGAAGTTTTATTTAGCGTGAATTATAAAATAAAATTGTAGGTAGGTATAGCTAAAACCAAGATACAGTAAAACGAGATTGATACCAGCCTCACTGCAAGCAGAGAGGGCTCCGTACGGAATCCGTTTGACTCGCAAGAGTACATTTCCTAGAAGTGCTTCCACCGTTAACGAGTGAGTGAAGCGGGCTCGGCGAGTTTTTAAGATGGGTGCGCTGTCATTGTATCGCGCGTCGTGCGCTACTTTTGAACGGACTCCGCAAAGACAATAAATAGGGGTGATCGTTAATGTGCTTAGTCCTTGGACTATTTTTTTCCATCCTCTAAGGCATAGCCGATTATTCCATAAATATAACAGACATCAAAAAGATTTAAGGTGATATCGAAAGTACGTTACCCAATGAATAAGTTAACATCAATAACTTTTTAAACATAAAACTAGAAATATCCAAAATTTTAATATTAAACGCTCCCATTCATTTAATATGACATTCGAAGAGAGGCTTTAGTTTTCCTACGGTAAGAGGTAACAATAAGTTAACAGGTAACGAAACTGACACAAATAAAGCAATAAAACTATCTTTTATTTGAATAAAAATATGACATAGTAAATTATTTGGTCAAGTGTGAGTTGTCCATAAAAATTAATAATTTTTTAGTGCTGATCGACACAGTTTCATGTAAGGAACATTTCATTGTATGAGGCGAAAAAATCGGGACAGCAGAAGTGGGTCTTTAATAAAAATATATTTTCATACAGAATTTTATTAAATTTGATGACTTCTGCTGTCGTGATTGTTTTTATCCAATACAATAAAATAATTCTTATAAGAAACTGAGTCTATCAGCATTAAAAAAAAAATTAGTCAGTTTTATTCATTTTGTATAAAAACATTTGATTAAATTTCACCAACTTCTGCTGTCCCGATATTTTCCGTCTACTACGCAATACGCAAATACCTCTTTTCAACGAAACTCTTTCCTGGTGGAAGGATAATGGCTCTTTTTCGTTCAGATGGAGTAGTCTAGAGTATCTTCCTTAGACTATGGAACCTTTTCCATCCTATAGGGTACCTTCAACTTTCGACAAGTGTCAACAGTCAAATGTTGAAACGTGGTCTGTGGTTGAAAAATATAGGAAAATATTCGGAAAAGCATTTATTTTCCTAAATAAATGAAAATTTCAAAATGGATTTTTTTCTATGACAATAAACTAAAGGTCGTATTCGAGAACTCTACTCAATGCTTAAGTCAGGACTTGAGTATGATTCAAAGCACTAGAAATCATACTCAAGTCCCTGCCATTAGGGTCGTATTTTCAGTGCTTGTGTTGCCAGTGCAATCCTGACTTGTGCATTGAATAGAGTTCTGGAATACGACCCTCAGTCTATGATAAAACATAATTTAATGTGAGTATGCTACTCAACCAGAGCTAGATATGTCCTTCAAGTCAACATAACCGCATTTTAGCCAGTTCATTCCATATATAGTGCAATTAAATCGAAATTGGTCATGGATATCCGTTTGGTAAATTGGTAAGGTAAAATAGTGGTTTACAAATTTTGTATGCAAGTTCGAGCCGCACTTCATCGGTTTTTATTGATTCTAACGTTTTATAAACAAATTCCCTTTTAAATAACAAAAACTTGCAGGTTCTTTAAGAAATTTATATTGTAAAAAATAAAAAATGTAACAATACGTTTTTGAGAAAGCTAATACAAGCGCGTAAAGAACGAGCACACAGTTTTAGTACGATACGTAGATTTTCACTTGAACAAAGCCAATCCCTTATTAGTACCTAACAGCTAAGCATCCATCAATCATTATAACTTGTACCTGTATTCTCGTTCCCCTGCTACATACAATGACAAACTTAAGCTCACTGAAATTTTCTGATAATTTCGACTCTCCTAATTTCATCAAACAAGAACCAATCTAGACATACGAGAAGCGTACCTACTACCTATAAGACTTACTAAAATGAAAAATACTGAAATACTGAATATTAAGAAAAGTATAAACGTTTTTAGGAAATATTCAGATTCGAGAGAGTTAAGGGAAATGTAAGCGAAAATTATCGGTTATCGTTTTTGTACTTTCTACAAAACTTTATACAGAAAATCTCGCTCGTACCTTTCTTAACACGCTGACGAAAAACAGTCTACAATGTTATTTATTTAAATCCATACGTAGCATACGTTGAAAGTCGTTATAATGGCAACATTACAATGAACGCGGAAATAGCACATCCACAGTTGTTTTAAGTCTGTGGTCTTGTCACGCTCACGGACTCTGTGACGTTAAGCGTTATGCTCTGCTGCGTTGTTTTCGCAACACCGTTTCTGTCGAGGCCTTTAGAAAAGAATAAGTATATTAAATTTTTAATACTACAGGAAGAGGAAGAGAAAGGTTTGCAAAGTGAAAACAAGGAATAGAGTAAAATGTAAATTTTAAACTTAAAATATTAATAACAAATATAACAGCGCCGTTTACTATAATGAATCTGAGTGTTTGAAAGCGTTAACTATTCTAAACAGTTAATGCTGAGATTGTGGTCAAAATTTTTGATAAGTTATTTTTGGCAATCAACCTCCTGGTATCTGCGGCAAACGTCTGCCCAGTTGACAATGTCGAAGATGGCCTTTACGTAGTCAGCACGGACATTTTTGTATTGCAGATAGTAGGCGTGCTCCCATACGTCAATACCAAGTAGCGGAACCAAGCCTGAAAAAATAACATATCATTTGTGTTCATTCAATATCATATTCACAAAACAACGAAAGAAACATGTTAGGATCGTAACAAATCAAGGGAGGCATAAACAAGTACATTATGTATTCTAAGGCTCAATTTACATTCCCATGGAATGGAAGCCAATTTTTATAACCATAACATAATAAACTTAATGTTAATTGTATAACTATCAAACTTCAGCAAGGGCGTATGCAGATTTTTGGACCTTAACATCAGCGGACGCTGATACGGATGCTGATTTCATCTATTTAAAAGGCATAAAAATGTACACATCCTTATTGAATCTACATGAAAAGGTTTAAAAAAAAATAATGAAGAGAACTACACTACCTAATTTCCGTGGCTATTTTTAATATTTAAGTATTCAAGTATATTACCGTGAATTATTAAACAATATTACTTACTTACTTCGCTGGATTAAGATGAAAAATCGAATACTTAAACAATCAAAATTGCCACGGAAATTAGGTAGTGAACACAAGTAACCGAGAATGACCATAAAAAAGGAAAGACGATGAAGTCCAAAGAAATGGAGCCAACAGCATTATTTACCTGTGGTAGCTTGTAGCGGATCCTGATTAGCACACGTAGCGATCTGCAACGATTGTGTATCTTTGTTGTACCCAAGCCAAGCCCATCCAGAACCCTGCACCCCCACAGCCGCTGCTGACAACTTCGACTTCATTGTTTCCATATTACAAAAAGCACTGTAAACAGATTTAATACATCTTATACAAATTAAATTAAATGAGTCAAACATGAGTTAGATTTTAGGCAAATAGGCAGCTCGTGTTTGTTTGTTTGATTGATTTTCATAAGTACCTAGTTATTTTCTTAATGTCATTAACTTGCTCTCTCAATAAATGGCTCGCAAAAAAATACAGAAATATCCATACAAAACCTCATGGAATATTTTGAAACGCCATCTATTGACCACATTATTGAACAATGCAATTAACACAGTCACTAAACCTAAACTGTCAATAAATAAAAGCATAGACAGCCTGTTTGGTTTTGTTGCTGGCACAAGCCTGGCACGAATAAGGCGCGTTAATTTGCAATTAGAAAAATTTTTACACAAATTAATTTTTAGTTCAAATTTTATTATGTATCCAGTTTCTTAATTATTTGTTACCTGTTTAAGCTGTTGGCTCTATAGCCAAAGCTCAATAAATAATGACCAATGGTCGGAAAAAGGTGTTCCTTATATATCGACACATGTATAGATATAACTACAATGAGCGACATAAAGTTGTTAAAAGCACCAAATATTAAATAATCAGTTTCGAATCGGAAATGGTTTTACTGCACCGTAGGACAAAACTACTGACCTAGGAAGTCGAAGTTGGATTTTAAATTCTAATGGGGTCATTTAAAAAATGCAGTAGATAACTGACCTTTTACCAAAACGGAGAATAAAAAGTAACGAGAATGGTCGAAATGGTAGATACCGCATATTGACGGTCACGTTGACGGAACGCCGACATTTCGTCGCCTTACTTTCTTAAACTCATATCTTAAAGCTCAAAGTTACTGAAATGCAAAAAATGGATTGTATATACACGTTTTGCAGGCTGATTTCACATCTCACTTCCTTCATATTTACACACTGGCTTTTGTCTATCTATCCTTAAAGTAATGCTTTCATTTTCACACTCTTGACAAGAAATTTTAAATAAATAGAAAGTTTTGCCATCTCCTGAATACTCTTTATAAGATACGAGTTTGAGGAGGTAAGGCATTGATTTGCTAGTAGAACTTAAGAAAAAAAATTGATTTGATTGAGAAATTTTATTTACATGGGATTTTTAGAGGAAATTTTAAAGTTTTCGTTTGCATGAGAATCGCGATAGCACTATAAAATTATTTATATAATAATAATTAATATATAAATAGACAGTATAACAGATGTTCATAAATTCAAACCACTAGCAGAAATGTCGTACCTATTTTAAAAGGCAAATGTTCACACTATATTATTTTAATAATATTTATTCAAAAAGCTGCTGGACGCTTAAACAAGACGAAAAAGTACTATTTATCCACGTACGGCTAATTTACCTTCTTAGATAGATTGTAGATACAAGTTTCTTTCGTCCGGAAATCCGGAATTCGAAAAAGCAATTAATTAATATTTCGTGTTTAGTTTTAACATTTCGTTTTAACAACTTTATGTCGCTCCTTGTAGCAATATCTATACATGTATCTATAGTTGTGGAACACGTTTTTCCGACCATTGATTGAACAATGACACACACGAGTAATATGGCGCCATTACAAAAAAAATGCCTTTAGTGTCATATTAGAGTAATATGACACTAAAGTGTCATATTAGAGTAATATGACACTAAAAGCATTTTTTTTTATGTCCAAGTGCTTTTGACAATGAAACAAATATTAATGGAGCGCGAAAATAGTCGCGGTTGTGATTCCTTTTTGCGTGCGTGCGTGCGTGCGTGCGTGCGTGCGTGCGTGCGTGCGTGC